TGACCTGTCTGTCTCCTCTCCACCTATCTTCTCCTTTTATCCATCTTCTATCTGTCTCCTGCTCTCTCCCTATTTATTTCAGAATCCCCTTCCCCCTCCCCCATTTCTGAGGAAGGGTCTAGATCCGAAACGTCAGCTTTCCTGCTCCTCTGATGCTGCTTGGCCTGCTGTGTTCATGCAGCCCTACACCTTGTCATCTCTAATTCTCCAGCATCTGCAGTTCCTACCATCTCTGAAACAATTTTAACCCTGTGTATTGTTCATTGTCCAATAAATTTCTAAATCCTTTTTTGGGTGCTTCAAATGAACTTGCTTTCAGCACATTCCAGACCCTGACCACAGTTTTTCTCATTTTAATTTTACTACTTTTGCCATTCACTTGAAGTCTGTGGTCCCTCACTTTTAATTAAACCTCCTTTCCTAATAGATGCATTCGTAAACCCAATCAAGTAAGTTTAAAAACAAGTTTATAAAGAATTGGATAAGCTTTAGATGGAGTGTTGTGTTAACTAGATTGCCTTGCATGGGCAGATTATCGGACAGACTGTTCTTGATTACACTGCGTGTAGAAGAGAGAGGAGTGATTAGATTCAATTTTAGAACAATACAGCACAGGAATGGGTTCTTCAGCCCACGATGTGCCCAGTATGATGCCAAATTCAACTAATCTTTTTCTGCCTTCCCTTGGTCCATATCCCTCCATTTCTTTATATTCATGTGCTTATCTAAAAGTCTCTTTAAACACCCCTATCATATCTGCCTCCACCACCACCCCTGGCAGCAAGTTCCAGACTCCTACCACTTTTTTTAAAGAAGAACATGCCCTCACATCTGCTTTGAACATTTTCCCCCTCGCCTGAACCATTGCAACGCTGGGAAAACGATTCTGACCATCAACCCTATCTACATCTCATTTTATAGACTTCTATCAAGTCTCCCCTCAGCCTTTGCCACTCCAGAGAAAACAACCTGAGTTTTTCTAGTCTCTCCTTTTTTTTTATAGCTCATACCCTCTAATCTAGGCAGCATCCTGGTAAACCTCTTCTGGACCTTCTCCAAAGCCTCTGCATCCTTCCTGTAATGTGGTGGCCAGAATTGAATGCAATACACTCAAATGTTGCATAACCAAAGTCTTATAAAGCTGCAACGTGACATCCTAACTCTCCTGTACTCAGTTCCCTGATCAATAAAGCAAGCATGCCTTATTCCTTCCATCCTATCTACTTGTGTGGTCACTTTCAGGGAGCTATGGACTTGAACCCCAAGATCCCTCTGTAAATCAGTGCTATTCAGGGTCCTGCCGTTAACTCTACTTTTCTTTAACATTTAATTTCTCACAGTGCAGCACCTCACACTTACCTGGATTAAAGTCCATCTGCCATTTCTCCACCCAGGTCTGCAACTGATCTATATCCTGCTGGATCCTATGACAACCTTCTACACTATCCACAACTCCACTGATCTTTAAGATTTTGTAAGGTGTGAAGGATGTTTACTCCACTGGATGAGTTCAGAGCAAGGAGATGCTGTTTAAAATTAATGATTGCTAAGATGAGGGGAAATTTTTTTTAGGGTTGTCTGACTTCGGAACTCTCTGCCTCACAATATGGTGGAAACCAGGTGAATATTTTAAAGATAGCAGTGGATAGTTTCTCATCAGGCAAGGGAATCAAAAGTTATCCATGTTAGATGGGAATGGTATTTAGAACAGAAAGATCAACCATTGCCTTATCGAAAAGTGAGTGGCATGAGTGACTGATTTCTGTTCTTAATTCATATGGTTCATTCAACTGTTGGCATTATACATTAGGAATGATTTCAAGTCCTTTTGCTGGGCTGCAAAAGAGGTTTAATTCATGCATAGTAATAAGAACATGTGAAATAAGAGCAGGAAAAGGCAATTCAACCCCTCCAGCTTGCTCCACCATTTAAAGCGATCAAGTAATTATATCTCGGCTTCAATCCCACTTTCTTGCCTGCTGTTTATAATCCTTGAACTAATTAAAAATCTTTCTATCTTCTCCTTTTTAAATTTACTCTGATCCAGTATCCACCACATCTGGAGTAGTGAGTTCCACAGATTCACAACCCTTTTTGGGAGAAGTAATTTCTCCTCCCTCTATAAGGTTCCATAAACACAATGTAATGGTTACAAGATGGTCTATGTTGGTGTAGGTTGAGGGTATAAATATGGGACTCTGGGGCTCATTTTGAAATGGGATTCTTTTCAGTTATGTTTAAAGGGGAAGGGGAGCCTTTGTTTATAACTCCTTTTTAAATATTGGGAGTTCAGTATATTGATGTACCAGTGTAGCACTGTCAATCTAAAATTTCTGAAGTGGAGCTTGGACGTACAGCCTTCTAACTCAGAGGCAAGAGAGCTGCTGTTGAAACACATCTGACACCGCAAAATATTATGGTTTGCTGATCTATTATGTAATGTATAACTTAGTTTGTACTGATGTAGAGTCAGCACCCAGAAGCAAATGTTTACTAGCATCTGGGCTACATTGATATTTGAACCCAGTTATTAGTAAATCATAAACCTGGGACTGTCAGGGTCACCTAGATCATGTAGAGAACAGACTTAAGTATATAGTCCGAATTTAATGATTAGGTTAATAACAAAGTGAAGGCCTCTATGACGATGGGAACCTCTGTCCAGTTAGCTGGGCTAAAGCGTTAACATTGTCGAAATATTTTCACAGAATATATTTTACATTTTACATCACCTTGTGAGATTAGCTGAAGGTTAATGTAAGTGCTTACTGTGAAATTCTTCTGAATTTAAACTCCATGTCAACAAGTATTGCTTTCACATTTGAGACGTAATTTTAAATCAAGCCCAGACAGAGAATGAAAAATCTGCTCATCTGGCTGTACAGTACAATGAAAGTTGTAAAATGCAACCCCAAAACTTTTCCTAACAGAAATTAAATTTGAGTCAATCAACGTCTCAGCTCCCGCTACCGAACTCTGAGAGTAAGTTACTATTGAGTTTGTGAATGGTGGAGAGAAGTAAAGAATGAATAAAAATGTGCATTTTAAAATGAAATGCTCAAACAAATCATAGTTGTCTCAAGGCAGGTCTTAGAGTAGAATCATAAAATCCCATACAGTGTGGAAACAGGCCCTTTGGCCCAACCAGTCCACACCAAACCTCAAAGTATCCCACCCAGACATTACCCACCTAATCTGCACATCTCTGAACACTACAGGCAATTTAGTGTGGCCAATCCACCTAGCATGCATATCTTTGGACTGTGGGAGGAAACTGGAGCACCTGGAGGAAACCCACACACCCAGGGGTGGGATTGAACCCGGGTCCCTGGCACTGCAAGGTAGCAGTGCTAACCACTGAGCCACCGTGTCACTTGTTCAATGTAACTTTTCTTGGTGCTATGTTCTGATTCATGGGAATTGAAACTAATACTGTCCTATGATTTAAGCTCATTATTTTGAATTTATCTGGTTTCCACATGTCAAACATGTAATGGGTTTTTTTTTTACAGCATCTGAGGAGAAGGAGATTGTGAAGAGTCAGTTTCTGAAAATAATGGATGCCTATGGCTGTTTGGGAGTCCTTCGTATAAAGAATGGTAAGTGGATAGGTGACGTTATGGAACCTCCCCTTACCTAATAGAGCAGGACCGGACAAAGTTAAAATCTTGTCAGGTTTAGGAAGCATCTCATCAGATTTAAGGGAAGAAAAAGTCTGGATCCTGACAAGTTATAGAAGTACTGTATAGCACTTTAATTTAATGTGTATGAACAGCACCTTGAGTTTTGATATTTTTGCACTGACACGTTATGTTTTTATTGCCTGCTTAATTATCATTTGTGATATTTTGAAAATTCTGTCACTTCACTGCTGCAATGTGAAGAATTGGACAATTGTGTAACACCAAGGAGGTCGTTCAGTTGTTCTTTTTGCCAGCTGTTCTAAAGAGCTAAAAATGAGTCCTGGTCTTTCTCAAAGCCCTGAAAACTTCAAATATAAATGCAATCCCTTTTTAAGATCACTATTGAATTTGCATCCTGTATCCTATTACGTAGCACCTTTATAGATAATAATTCACTACATAAACTGAATACCTCCTTATTCATTTTGGTTCTTTTTGCTAATTATTTTAAATTCATGTCCTTTGGTTACTAATCTTCCTGCAATTGGAATCCGTTTCCTATTTAGCTTCTTAAAACCCTACATTATTTTTAACATCTTTTTATTACTTTTTTTAATCTGCTGTGATATGGAGAAGAATTCCATTTTCTCTAGACTCTCCACTTAACTGAACACCATCATTCCTGGTATCACTCTAGTAAAACTCATTTTAACCTATTCCACAGTCTTAGCATTATTCCTAAGTTGTGATTCCCTGAAAGAATTTTTGTTGAGGTTGATTTTTAAAAAGAGTCACATTTGGCACAGACAAGAATGAAACCCATTTACTGTGAATGAGAGCCAAGTATTTTAATTCTTGGGTCTTCTTTTAAATAATGCAGTGCAGTGTCCCTCCTGAACCTGGAAGGATTAATGTTAGGGCTATGGGATGGGAGCTGAAACTGGATAGTGTGCTTTTGGTTGCCAGGGACCCAAGCAAATAGTCTTTGGTATTAAATTGTTGCAGGGTTTTGGAAGCTATACAAGAATAAGGAAATCAGAGGAATGAGTAATGTGTAAATTGTGGGGGACTTTAATCTGCATATTTGATAAATAAATTGATGAAGGTAGCTTGGAGGATGAGTTTGTGAAGATCATTTGAGATGGTCTCTGGCCTAGCTGATTCTTCAACAACTGTCCCAGAAAACTATTTTAGATTTCAGCATTGTGTAATAAGTCTGGCATGTTTGTTAATTTTCAATTAAAGGATTTTGGGGAAAGTATGATCTTAATATGACAGACTTTGATATCAAATTTGGGACCTATATGATTAAATTGGAAATAGGCATCTTAAATTTAAACACATTCAATTATGGAAGATTGAAAAGTGAGTGGATTGAGGTATGAGAAATTAGCTTAGATAAATAATCAATGGCAATGCATTAAATAATTCATATTCTCAACTAATATACATTCCATTGAGCATTAAAACCTTTGCTGGAAGTGTGGTACAGCCACATCTGAATAGATAAGTTCACGATAGAATGAATCTAAAAGACTTCTAATGTTGTGAAAAAGGTGAGTAATCCTGGGGATTTGGAGGGTTTCAAAAACCAGCAAAAGATGACCTATAAATTCAAAAAGAAAGGGAATAAGACAATAGATAAGCAAAAAATTCTCTACTGTGTTGAACTTTTGTCATGAGGCTCTTTTTTTTTTTTGCCCCCACCTTTTTATTTCAATGCAAAGTGAATGCTAACTTTGAATCCTCCTTTCTTTATCTCCTCATAGCAATACGTTCACTTTTTTTGGATCTGAATTATATCTTCTTTGAAAACCTTTTTTTAAAAAATCTTTGTCAGTTTTTCTTTCCGATTTTTACCCCCCCACCCCGCATAGCCCTTTTTTAATTCAGAAATTCATTTTCTTCCAGTTGAGTGTCTTTAGGTTTGAATGTTTCCTACTCCTTTTTGTTGTTATGATGGATCTTCATCACACTCATCATCTTTTCTGGTAGAGATCCACAGAGCTGATGCACTGGCATCCAGTTGTGAAAGCTGCTGTTGTGCGCAGAGCACCGAGATCTGCACAGCAAAGGGGAAAAATGGGGAGAGCATTGTCTCGATAAGGAGTTTAGTAAAAATTCAAGGTCAGAAGTGCTTTTTTTTTTCTTAAAACCTTGAGAGTTATTTAAGAGAGTTTAAATTCTGTTATGTGAAGGCTCCAGGAAGAGACTATCAGATTTGAGACTGGAAGTTAAAACCACAGAAATTAAGCTGTACTGGGATGATAGAAAAGAAATTTTCTTTGGACTAAGTATTGTAAAGGGGTGCTTTTGCGATTAATGGGATTATATTTTTATTATGTGTTTTGAGATCTTTAAAATATAAATGGTTTATTTTATTCTGTTTTATCTTTTTTTGTAAAATAATTCTGTTCAGTTGTTCAAACCAAATCTTTAACATTGCGTGCTTATATTTCAGTGAGATATCATCTTGTTAAAACCAAAAAAGTAATCAATCAAGCCAGATTTTTGCCTGAGAACTTACTTGTTCGGTAAAAACATCAGATGGGAGTATAAAATTGGTTTATTTTGTGATAGCAGATAGGTACAAGCTATATTTCTTTTGATGGATTTTGTTAAATTTGAAGATGTTCTTGATGTTAGAATCACAGAGGTCCACAACTCAGAAAAAGGCTTTGGCCCATCAAGTTTGTGCCTGTTAAAAGCAAACATTTAACTATTATTGTAATCCCATTTTCCAGCACTTTGGCCAAATGTACTGTATGCCTTGACATTGTAAGTGCACATCTAATTCCTTATAAATACTACTTAAATGTTATGAGAGTTTCTGTAGGCAATTCAGCTTCTCGAGTATGTTTTGACAATTGATGTGATCAAGGCTGATATCATCTTGACCTCAATCCAATTTCCTGCCCACTCACCATAATCCTTTAACCCATTATTAATCAAAAATCTATCCAACTCCTTATAAAATTTATTCAGTGTCCTGCCATCCATCACACTCTGGGATAGTGAATTCTTTTGACAGAAATAATTTTTTTCTCATTTGTATTTTCAAACTACTACTTATAATTAAAAATTATGACCACTCATTCTAAACTGCTGCACAAGGGGAAGCATCCACTTTCTCAATCCCCTTTAACATCTTGCACACCTCCATTAGATCTCCTCTCATTTTTCTAAACTTCAGAGGGTGTAGGCCTAAATTGTTCAATCACTCTCTTCACAAGACAAACCCATCATCTCTGTAATTAATCCAGTGAACGTTCTCTGAACTGCCTCCAATGCAACTACATTCCCCCTTAAGGGGACAAATATTGTATGCAATACTCCAAGTTTGGTCTCAGTAATGCTTTGTACTGTTCCTTTAGCAATAAATGCCACAATTCCATTTGCCTTCCTTTATTAACTGCTGTAACTGTGTACTAGTTTTCTGTGACTCATGCACAAGTCCACCCAGATCCCTTTGCATTGAAGCACACTGAAATTTCTGTCTGTTTAGATACGTTTCATTTCTATTCTTATGACCAAAAGTGGATAACCTCATACTTATCCACATTAAATTCCATCTGCCAAATTTTAGGCCATTCACATAACCAATCCATTACTCTTGCAAATGTTTTATTTCTTCATTGGAACTAACTTACTCAGCTATTTTAATGTCAGTTGCAAATTTGGCTGTAGTATGTCTATTCTTGCATCCAGGAAAGTTAATTTATATTTGTAAGTTGTTGGAGTCTGAGAACTGAACCCTGTGGCATCCCACAAGTTACATCTTGCCAACCCAGAAAAAGATCTATTTATTCTGACCTTTTGCTTTCTGTTAGCTAGCCAGCCCCTAGACATGTTACACTCAATGCCATGCCATCTTAACTAATGGCCGTCCCTAGCTCTGCCCTCACCATGATATCCTGCACTCTCTCGTCACTCCTGCCCAACCTGCCGGTTTCCTCCAGATTCACCTCTTTTCTTTTTGCCAATCCTGCCTCATCAAGCCCCCCCCCACTGTCTTGTATGATTCCCTTCTCCCAGAGCTCTGAATTTGCTTTTTATTGTATTGACACTAACAAACACACACTGAATTTTCCTAGAGTCATGAAGCAGAAAAGAGGCCCCTTGAGTCTGTAAGAGCTCTGCTGAAGAGTCAACTAGACTCAAAATGTTAGCTTGCTTTCTCTCCATGGATGATGTCTGACTCACCTTGACCTCCAGAATTTCTTCTTGTTTTCAATTCCCTTCAAGTCTGTGCTGAACTATCTACACTCATCCCATTTTCCAGCACCTGGCCCACGACCTCAAATCTCACAATATGTATATTTTAAATGTTGAGGTCTCCTGCCTCTACTAACATCCCAGGCAGTGCATCCGGATTCCCACCACTCTGGGTGGAAAGAAGTCCTCAAAACCCCTCTTAAATCCCCTAGCCTCCACCTTTTAAAATTTTGAGCAAACCCAAACCAAGAGGATGAAAATGAGATGATTTCTGAAGAAGGGTCTAGGCCCGAAACATCAGCCTTCCTGCTCCTCTGATGCTGGTTGGCCTGCTGTGTTCATCCAGCCCTACACCTTGTTATCTCGGATTCTCCAGCATCTGCAGTTCCTACTATCTCTGATATTTTTATACTTCAATTTCTACCACCCTCTCTTTTTGAGACAGCTAGCATTTTGTGACCCAATGTCCACTTAAAATGATGTTGGAATTGCTATTGAAGTGCCTATTGCAAATTCAGATTTCTTTTGTTGTTTTAATTTTGTAGAGGTGTGTGTCTTCTTGAAGGGTATAGGTAAGCCAGCTCATGAACTTGGGAGAAGCCCGTTGTATATTTGTGAACCATTCAGCAGATTATTTTTAAAAAAAAAAAAAAAAAAAAAAAAAATTCTTGCCAACTTCATTTATGGAAATGTAATGGTAATTTTAAGTACATTTACAATATAGTGTTTAACCATAGCACTCTGCCCTTTAAAAGGTAAGAGCCCATTAAACTAATTAGGATTGTGTAAGGATTCCGAGGCAGAGCTCTTTTATCCAAAAGGTAAAGTTCTCTTCTCTTCTGCTTTTCTGTAGTGTGGGTAATCAGAATGAATTTTTTTCAGGGCACCATGAGATTTGATTTTTTTTTTGCGTCAAAACTATGCCCAGATACATGTTGTGTTTCTTAAGGTATTCATTATGTAATCGGTATAGAACTAATCAGCCACAATATAACAACTATTAAACAGTTTAAATGATTCTTTTAATTTTACAATTAAACAACCAATCAAAAACCTCTCATTCACATTAAGTGCAAATCAAATGCTGGCAGTGAAAGTGTTATTGAAGAAACACCTTGTAATCTGGTCCAAATAAACAACAAGGCATTGGAAAATCACTTCAAAGCTAAGATTAACAATTTTGAGTTTGCAATAATTAACCAAACTTAGCAGTTCCCTTCAAGTTATGTAATTAAACATTGACTGGACTGAATGCAATAGACAGTCCTGGAGCTCAGTCAAGCCTTCAAAATAAAACCAACTGGCAAAACAGATGCCTGGTCATTAATTCAACATACTACTTATGCAGTTGCCAGCTGGCTTCATTGAAGGAATACCTCATTTATTCTGTGTATGGAGGATACAAAAATGGCATGACTGGTTGCGGGGTGGGGTGGGTGGCAGGGTAGAGGGCCTAACAGTTATGGGTAGGACTGGGGTGCTTGCCGTAACCTGCATTCATTGCTACCCAGGTCCTGCCTTATAGGCAGCAGCCCTGTCTCCAGCCCACACCCAACTACAGGAGAGAAAATGAATTTTAAATAGGCTGCCTAATAGAAGTGAGGAACATGATCAGGAAATGTTCTGATTCCTGAACTAATGATAAAAATATTACCTGGATAGGAACATTGGGGTAGACCATTCAGCTCATTCTGCCTGCTGTATCATTCACTTAAATGCCTTCCCCCACCGCCACTATCCTCACAGCACTTTTTAATCATTGGTGTATCATTAGAAATCTATCAATCTCTAATTTAAACCTTCTCAATGACTTCCACAACCCTTTGTGATTGAGAATTCCAAAGAGTGATAACCTTCTTGGTATAAAAACAAATTTTCCTCTTCTCTGTATTAAGTGGCTTTCCCTTCTCTTGAAATTGTCTGTCCTGATTCTACATTCCCCAACCAGGGAAACTATCATACCTGCATCTACTTTGTAAATCGCTTTAAGTATTTTGTAGATTTCACTGAGATTCCTAGAGGAATGAGAGGTATTATAAGTCATACAGGTCCAAATTTCCCAATCACTCCTCGTAAGACAGTCCAGCCATCCTGGATCAAGTCTAGTGAGCCTTTGTTGCACTCCCTCTATGACCATAATGTTCTGACACAGGTAAGCAGACCGAATCTGTGCACAGTACTCCAGAAGTAGTCTAACCATAGTTCTATACAGTTGAAGCATTAATTTACTACTACTGTATTCAAATCCATTTGTGATTTAAAATATACCATTTCACTAGCCTTCATAATTGGTTATTGTGCCTGACACCCAGGTCCCTTTTGTGCCTCTACACTTTCCAACATGTTAGCATTTAAAAAAAAAACTGAATATCTGTCCCTATTACCAAAGTGCATAATGTCACATTTTTCAACATGATATTCCAGTTATCCTGCTCTTGCATATACACTCAGTCTGTCCAAATCTTCGTGAAACAGCTCTGCATCTTCCTCATAGGATACAATCCCACCTAGCTTTGTGACATCCATGAATTTGAAAATATTTCATTTGATCCTAGCATCCAAATGATTTAATATAAACTGTAAATAATTGAGGCCCAAGTACTGATCCTTGTGGGTTCCTATTAATAATGTGTCTCCAATGTGAGAAGGATCCATTTATCCTACTGTTTTCTGCCTTTTTAGTCAGTCCTTTAATCCATGACAGTACCTGACCTCCTACCCAATTTAATTTTGCTATCCAACCTTCCTTGGGAGATCTAATCAAAAACTTTCTCAAATCCAAGTGTACTATGTTAACAGACTCCCTTTTATTAATTCTATTGGTAACATCCTCAGAAAACCCCATTAGATTTGTCAAATGTAATTTTCCATTCTTCAATCCATGCTGAGTGTGCTAAATCAGATCATTTTGA